TCAGTTTTTGATGCCGTCTGTAAATGCTTGAAAATCAGGGGAGGGTTTGAAAAAATGGCCACAAATAGGAAGACCTCTTGATGGAAGACCCTCCAGAAAGGAAGATTATAAGCTAAGGACAAATAAAAAATTCAGTTGGAAAGTGGCTCTTATTTTACACAATTCACAGAGACGCGGGATATTGCCTGAAACCGCGGGGTTGCATTGCAATCCTAACTACTGAAAGCATGACTTTTTCAGAGATTCCAAGGCCAGAAGGGATCATTGTGATCATCTAATTTGGACAGTGTGTCTCAGTATTACAAACGAATCTATCTATTTTATCTTCCTTCTTTAAATCAAATCTCGGGGAATGTAACTAGAGCAGGGTGGGCGGGAAGAGAAGAGAAGGGGAGGGGCGGACAGCAAACTCAATAACCCGCCTCTTTTCTTCTAAAGCACGCCTCATGCAGGCAGCTGCAACCGGAGGAGGTGGGGTGCGGTGGAAAACAGGGCCAAGGCTCCACCCCTTTCTTTGACAGTTCTCAAACAGGTCGGCACCCAGACAATATACAGCGAGCACAATGAGCTAACACGGCTTAGTTATTCTGATTTTCTAAGCAGAGCGTTTCGCAGGTCGTAACATCATGTCTGGTCGTGGCAAAGGTGGTAAGGGTTTGGGAAAAGGGGGTGCTAAGCGCCATCGGAAGGTGCTTCGTGATAACATCCAAGGTATTACGAAGCCGGCTATTCGTCGTTTGGCTCGCCGTGGTGGTGTAAAGCGTATTTCTGGATTGATATATGAAGAAACCCGAGGCGTACTGAAAGTATTTCTAGAGAACGTGATCCGCGACGCTGTCACTTACACTGAACATGCCAAGCGAAAGACTGTGACAGCCATGGACGTGGTGTACGCTCTGAAACGCCAGGGTCGCACTCTCTACGGATTCGGGGGCTAAGTTTTCATCCCGCTTTAAAGTTGAAACATCAAAAACAAAGGCTCTTTTAAGAGCCACCCACACTTTCACAATGAGAGCTTAAGTGCTACTGGTCTGTTTCTGAAACCGCTCTGTGTGTGTGTGTTAAATTAAGCGTACTTTAAGTTTGGGGGGTATTCTATTTTCTCACTTGACCTAAATCGTACATCACGTGAGATGAGAAGTATTAATGCTCTTTTACTGAGGGCGCGGGGGGGGGAATGACTAAACCCTGTGGTTAAAAGGTTACGGACGACTTTTTTTTTCTTTTCCAAAATCTGTTTCGTCAGCTTTGTGGGTAACGAGAGGAAGAACAGCTTGGGTTTCTCGGGAAGACCTTTTTGCTGCCTTATCCGCGTCCTGATAGTCCTGCAAACGTCACGACAAACAATTGATGGCTAAAATACAGTAAAGTCCACTCTGACTGACTAAAAACACTAGCGTCCGTTTCTTCTCTCCCGCCCCCCATTTGGGGAAAGCAAAAGAGATTTATTTCCCGCTCTGTTCCACCAGGTCCCTTATTTCATACACGCTTTTCCATTTTTGTAGAGACGACATGGGGGTGCGGGGGGTATGAGAAGATGTCTTTAAGCATTACATCATCTTTAAGAATTACAGCTGATACGTGGTCTCCTCTGAAGCTTAAGGCAGGACTGAAGGGGAGTAAAGAGGTTCTTCCTTCATAAGGAGGCAGCGCTTCTCAGTCCGAGAGGAAGAATCGTAGGACACTGTCACCTTCTAAAAGCCTATACATTAGCAGACGAAGAGACTTCCTATGCAGTCGACGCATCCTGTTGTTTCAGTGTTCTCTTCCGGGGATTCGTGCTCGTTCAGGTTGTTCGTATGTAAGATACAGTACAGCGAAGAAGCGGGAATAATGTTCGGTATCAGAGATTTGGCCCGTTTGGAAGTGAAATAATGAGACGACGAGTCACCGATTTAAATGAGAGAGAGAGAGATGAGATAGAAAGTGGGGGAGGGGCGGCGGAGTTTCAGAGAGGGGAACCGCAAGAAACGGATTATGGGGACATCCAGAGAGCGCGAGTTTAGTGACCTGACCGTTGACAGCCGGTTTGCGCGAATCTTGTCGGAGCGACACTGGCGGTAGGGAAGGGCGGGTCGGATGGCTGGCTGCACAAGCGCGGGCTTTTCAAATGTTCAAATTGTCCAATGATAGCTGGCTCCATGTCAACAACCAATCAGAAAGGAGGCTTGGGCTATATATACCGCCGGAGCCGAGGGGCTCTGCCTTACTTTGTTCTTTTGTGCTGTTTGTCTCCGAGTTGGGAGCGAGGGTTGCTGAGAATGGCCAGGACCAAGCAGACCGCCCGTAAATCCACCGGTGGCAAAGCCCCCCGTAAGCAGTTGGCCACTAAAGCTGCCCGGAAGAGCGCGCCTGCGACTGGGGGAGTGAAGAAGCCTCATCGCTACCGGCCCGGCACTGTGGCCCTGCGAGAGATCCGCCGCTACCAGAAATCTACTGAGCTGCTCATCCGCAAGCTGCCCTTCCAGCGCCTGGTCCGTGAAATCGCCCAGGACTTCAAGACCGACTTGCGCTTCCAGAGTTCGGCCGTTATGGCCCTGCAGGAGGCCAGCGAAGCCTATTTGGTGGGGCTCTTTGAAGATACTAACCTGTGTGCTATTCACGCCAAGAGAGTCACCATCATGCCCAAGGACATCCAGTTAGCCCGGCGTATCCGTGGCGAGAGAGCTTAAAAGCTTGATTACACCCACCAGCTTTTGGCAACTAGAAAACTATCACGAAAGATCCAAAGGCTCTTTTAAGAGCCACCACATTCACATTCAAAAGGAGCTGCAACACATCCGTCATGTGTGCAACTTCGTTCGTCACACTTGCGAATCAGGTTTATGTAAAAATAAAAACGCGGAGGAAACCACATAAGATTGCAACCCGATTCCTGCCCTAATTGGTATCTTCCCGAAATACATCCTCATACACTTGTCCTATCTTCTCGTGAGTTTGGTTTCTGCTATTTGTGTCTCACATTGTGCCCTCAGTTGCGTGAGCTCGTCTAAGTGGGGTGCTTAGAATACTCATCAGACATTCCATATCCTGCCCTAGGCCCGAGAGATGTGCCTCTGCCTGTCTGACGCTTGGTTTGTGTACATTGCTCTGTGGTGAGGCAGCAGTGCGCATGCCTAGAAGTAGAAATGTAGGTGCCTACGGGATTTTTTTCATAACAGATTTAGGTGGCGTGAGTTTCGGAACCTGCATATCTGTACAGAAACGCAGTGGGGGTTTCGTGTGTATCCCAGTGGTGCCGCGAATGGGGATTTAGTTTATGCGCCTCGATTGCTTTTTTTAAGCTGGACCTCTCTGAACTAGCAGCTGTATTGACAGAGAGAGAGAGAGAGACTGAAAGACCACAAACCTTGTTGGTATGTCAGTAGCAGTGAAATGTTCAAACAAGCCTCGTTGAAACACCCACCACCCGAAACCATGCAAAAAACTCTATATTTGACTACTCGTTTGAAATGTAAAGTGATAGTTTGCCATTACAGGAAATAAAATTAGAATCATGGAAGATTTCAAAGTACATTGACAGACTGTCAAAGGTGCACACATGACGGATGTGTTGCAGCTCCTTTTGAATGTGAATGTGGTGGCTCTTAAAAGAGCCTTTGGATCTTTCGTGACAGTTTTCTAGTTGCCAAAAGCTGGTGGATGTAATCAAGCTTTTAAGCTCTCTCGCCACGGATACGCCGGGCTAACTGGATGTCCTTGGGCATGATGGTGACTCTCTTGGCGTGAATAGCACACAGGTTAGTGTCTTCAAAGAGCCCCACCAAGTAGGCTTCGCTGGCCTCCTGCAGGGCCATAACGGCCGAACTCTGGAAGCGCAAGTCGGTCTTGAAGTCCTGGGCGATTTCACGGACCAGGCGCTGGAAGGGCAACTTGCGGATGAGCAGCTCAGTCGATTTCTGGTAGCGGCGGATCTCTCGCAGGGCCACAGTGCCGGGCCGGTAGCGATGAGGCTTCTTCACTCCCCCAGTCGCAGGCGCGCTCTTCCGGGCAGCTTTAGTGGCCAACTGCTTACGGGGGGCTTTGCCACCGGTGGATTTACGGGCGGTCTGCTTGGTCCTGGCCATTCTCAGCAACCCTCGCTCCCAACTCGGAGACAAACAGCACAAAAGAACAAAGTAAGGCAGAGCCCCTCGGCTCCGGCGGTATATATAGCCCAAGCCTCCTTTCTGATTGGTTGTTGACATGGAGCCAGCTATCATTGGACAATTTGAACATTTGAAAAGCCCGCGCTTGTGCAGCCAGCCATCCGACCCGCCCTTCCCTACCTCCAGTGTCGCTCCGACAAGATTCGCGCAAACCGGCTTTCAACGGTCAGGTCACTAAACCCGCGCTCTCTGGATGTCCCCATAATCCGTTTCTTGCGGTCCCTCTCTCTGAAACTCCGCCGCCCCCTCCCCCACTTTCTATCTCATCTCTCTCTCTCTCATTTAAATCGGTGGCTCGTCGTCTCATTATTTCACTTCCAAACGGGCCAAATCTCTGATACCGAACATTATTCCCGCTTCTTCGCTGTACTGTATCTTACATACGAACAACCTGAACGAGCACGAATCCCCGGAAGAGAACACTGAAACAACAGGATGCGTCGACTGCATAGGAAGTCTCTTCGTCTGCTAATGTATAGGCTTTTAGAAGGTGACAGTGTCCTACGATTCTTCCTCTCGGACTGAGAAGCGCTGCCTCCTTATGAAGGAAGAACCTCTTTACTCCCCTTCAGTCCTGCCTTAAGCTTCAGAGGAGACCACGTATCAGCTGTAATTCTTAAAGATGATGTAATGCTTAAAGACATCTTCTCATACCCCCCGCACCCCCATGTCGTCTCTACAAAAATGGAAAAGCGTGTATGAAATAAGGGACCTGGTGGAACAGAGCGGGAAATAAATCTCTTTTGCTTTCCCCAAATGGGGGGCGGGAGAGAAGAAACGGACGCTAGTGTTTTTAGTCAGTCAGAGTGGACTTTACTGTATTTTAGCCATCAATTGTTTGTCGTGACGTTTGCAGGACTATCAGGACGCGGATAAGGCAGCAAAAAGGTCTTCCCGAGAAACCCAAGCTGTTCTTCCTCTCGTTACCCACAAAGCTGACGAAACAGATTTTGGAAAAGAAAAAAAAAGTCGTCCGTAACCTTTTAACCACAGGGTTTAGTCATTCCCCCCCCCGCGCCCTCAGTAAAAGAGCATTAATACTTCTCATCTCACGTGATGTACGATTTAGGTCAAGTGAGAAAATAGAATACCCCCCAAACTTAAAGTACGCTTAATTTAACACACACACACAGAGCGGTTTCAGAAACAGACCAGTAGCACTTAAGCTCTCATTGTGAAAGTGTGGGTGGCTCTTAAAAGAGCCTTTGTTTTTGAAGATGTCTCAACTTTAAAGCGGGATGAAAACTTAGCCCCCGAATCCGTAGAGAGTGCGACCCTGTCGTTTCAGAGCGTACACCACGTCCATGGCAGTCACAGTCTTTCGCTTGGCATGTTCAGTGTAAGTGACAGCGTCACGGATAACGTTCTCTAGAAACACTTTCAGTACACCTCGGGTTTCTTCATAAATCAATCCAGAAATACGCTTTACGCCACCACGGCGAGCCAAACGACGAATAGCCGGCTTCGTAATACCTTGGATGTTATCACGAAGCACCTTCCGATGGCGCTTAGCACCCCCTTTTCCCAAACCCTTACCACCTTTGCCACGACCAGACATGATGTTACGACCTGCGAAACGCTCTGCTTAGAAAATCAGAAAACCTAGGCTGTGTTAGCTCATTGTGCTCGCTGTATATTGTCTGGGTGCCGACCTGTTTGAGAACTGTCAAAGAAAGGGGTGGAGCCTTGGCCCTGTTTTCCACCGCACCCCACCTCCTCCGGTTGCAGCTGCCTGCATGAGGCGTGCTTTAGAAGAAAAGAGGCGGGTTATTGAGTTTGCTGTCCGCCCCTCCCCTTCTCTTCTCTTCCCGCCCACCCTGCTCTAGTTACATTCCCCGAGATTTGATTTAAAGAAGGAAGATAAAATAGATAGATTCGTTTGTAATACTGAGACACACTGTCCAAATTAGATGATCACAATGATCCCTTCTGGCCTTGGAATCTCTGAAAAAGTCATGCTTTCAGTAGTTAGGATTGCAATGCAACCCCGCGGTTTCAGGCAATATCCCGCGTCTCTGTGAATTGTGTAAAATAAGAGCCACTTTCCAACTGAATTTTTTATTTGTCCTTAGCTTATAATCTTCCTTTCTGGAGGGTCTTCCATCAAGAGGTCTTCCTATTTGTGGCCATTTTTTCAAACCCTCCCCTGATTTTCAAGCATTTACAGACGGCATCAAAAACTGA